TTTGATGCGATTTTAAATCGATCACTTCTGTCAACTAGCTGCGATTTTACGGCGATTCGTTTCTGCAAATTGCCCCGGTTTTAAACTTGGGGGAAATTTAATTTGCACGCCATCGCAGAATTTCTTCTCACGCTTACTATTGCCAAAAACCTGTGTGTAATGATATTGTCGCTCGACCCTAACCATGTATAACTCCTTCAGTGTTGTTGATCAAGTGAAGGGTAATAATATTGCCACTCGACCCTTACCGTGAATAACTCCTTAAAAGTTGTTGTTAAATCTTGGGACTCTTGACGGACAAATGTTTTCACTGGATGTTTCCTCCAATAACATTTCTTTCTTCAGCCCTATACATGACATGTAGTTAGAACGTCTGGTAAATGCTTACGACCACCTCACGTAATAAGCGACCGAGACCGCTTTTTGGGAACTCTTCTAAACCGTCACATTTCGGGTTGTTCATTACGGAAGGTTCGGCTTACGGATAGAGATCTATCAAAGTGCAGCGGTGACATACAATGCAAACATCAAAATTTATTACAACTAGTGTATAGGAATATAATAGCACGGCACATGCTTGAAAGCAGTCAAACTAAGGGTCTGCCTTGCTTACAGCGAGAAATTTTCCATGAAGTGGCCCCCATATACATAAACCCAGTAGGTCACCTTTCACCATGGATGCAAATAATCGAGTTACAATCAGAATTGCGACATATACTATACTTTTGCTTTACTGTAAGGTAAGTTGCAATGTTCATGGGGATCCTCTTGTGAGAGAAGTGACTTGTCTTTGACAGATTGTGCTCACAAAAGTAGCATAATAATTTATGCTACTAGCAGTGCACGTGAATTTCTAAAATTATGCCGATAACTGTGCTAGTTTTTGTAAATTATGTTCATTTTAGCAAATATAATTCAGAAATTATGCTTCTACTATTTACTTTAAATTAATAAAAACACCTCAATATATAACTTTGCAACAAACAAGTATAAGGCAAATACACTTACTCTATTTACATCTAGAAACTTTTATATTGTCTAACGACTAGAAAAATTCAAACAATTAACAACCAGGGCCCAGTTGCTCGAAGCATGGTTAGCGTTAACCAGCGTTTAATACCTTGACAACGTAACCATGCTTTGAGCAACTCAGCCCAGAACGCGGAAGTCCATCTTAGATAACCAAGCTAGTTATGCGCATGCGTTGAGTCCTGCGAAAAGAGTCCTAAGTCACTTCCTGTGAGACCCAGGTCCCATGAATGTGACAATGAGCAGACCGTCCAAAAATTGATTTTGTTACTTAAAATATGCCTGTAACTCTGATATCGGCAATGACAATTTTAAGCTACAAAACTAGCCAAAAAGTGCAAATTATGCTAGCAGTGCTTTTTTCCAGAATTGGATTAATATTATGCTCGTAATGACGAATTATGCCAACATTATGCTAGCACAATCTATCAAGGCTGAGAAGTGACCCGCTTAGTCCTGTGGTGGCGGGATTTCTTCCACGTACATTCGAGATACTGAATTCCATCCTGTGCGTGCATCAGCATTAAATATGTAACCCTTACAATAGCCGACATGGAAGCCGACCTCTACAATCCCGGCGGGGAGCGCATTGCAGACTCCTTCAATATGGCGAACACGGAATGGGCTCAACTTGGCATTCGGACTCGCACCTGATAGCATGTAGACCAGACCGTCGATAGGATCAGGAGTAGAACACTCATTACTATTAAAAGTAAAATACCAACGCTTGCAGCAATTGTTGCAGTTTTTGATACGAAGTCCTCCACTCCAGTAGACTCTAAGGCTGGTTTTTGACGATAACTTTCTAAACGTACAATTCTAGGGTATTTTTGTAAAGAAAACAAGAAATAATGTTAGCAAAAAAAATTGAGTTCTAAAATGAAATAGCTTACCCTTCAATTCTATGAGTGAAAACCTCCAAGAAGTTGCTATGGAAAGGGAATTCTTACAGTAAACTGTTGTTATTGTTGAGTTGCTAAATTATATGCTACTTATTAACAGAGAGTGAGGTAATTACAGGGATATCTCAGACCGGGGCTTTGATGTTAATAAGTTGTACACGTGAGCCTGCGATAGAGTCAGGTGACATTGGTCAGCGGATACCCCACAGACACGAAGCCTCAAGCTAAAAAACAACGATTTTTAAGGTTATCCCAGAAGTTTCCAGAAGAAACACAGCAGCTAATGGAGGAAAAAGATGCAGGTAATATAAGGAAAGTACTTTGTAAATCATTAATTCAGTGGTTTTGAGAATTAAATCTGTGTTGTTATAAGTACCGAGTCGACTGTACGTGCATGTTTTGGTTCGCTCCGGTTATTCTTTCGTTGCTGTTGAAGTGAAAGTCTAGAAATGTAACAAAACACTTTAATGTCAGGTCCCTCGGCAAACCAGTTTGTTTTGTTTTCCCTCGGGATCTGACATTAAGTATATAATATGATTTAGTATATAATGGTAATTTAACTGAGTGAAGTGCAATTTGGCCTGATATCTTACGCGTGATTTCAAAATCGAACGAGAGCGCAGCGCGAGTTCGATTTGAAATCACATGTATGATTTCAGACCAAAATTGCACGACACGAAGTTCAATTACCACTTTATTACTTCCATTTTGAAATCGCAGAATTTAGTCAGTACTAATATTTTATTGATCAAGTAGCCGGTTTGTTAAAAAGCCGAAACAAAANAGACCAAAATTGCACGACACGAAGTTCAATTACCACTTTATTACTTCCATTTTGAAATCGCAGAATTTAGTCAGTACTAATATTTTATTGATCAAGTAGCCGGTTTGTTAAAAAGCCGAAACAAAAAGGCTTTTACATCTCACTTTGTATTCCAAACAGAAATGATGCGATATAGAACATGAATGACGCGTTTTGGAACAGATGCGATTTAAAGCAAAAAATAGTGCGATTTAGGAATAAATCACACCGCTGAGAGCCAATCAGATTGCACGGATAGCCAGTGATTTCAAAGTGGATGCAATAAATACTAAAACAGTGGATAGTGTTTTTCGCGCGCTCTGATTGGCTTCTCAATCAGTGAATATCCTGCACTATTCACTGATTCACCTCCAGTTGCTCCGAGCGAGCGACGCCAAACTCGCGTAGGTTGCGAGCAAAATGCCTTCACGGCTTGCTGCCGTGATAAACTAAGAAATTTCACAACTAATCAAGCAAGCTATTTCCAAAATACATGAAGAAGGTGACGAAGTTCGGTTTGGAAGTTTTAAGAAGTAAAGCTTTGTCTTTTTGACTTGAATTTATCGATAAAACCGGTGAAAAAGTTTTTTGTTTACAACTGCAAATTAAGCTTGAGTCTTGCCGAGTTACTTTCTTTAGTTGACTTGTTCATAAATAAGCTTAAAACTTAATTTAATAATCTTTTTTACAGAATTATTTTAAATACAAAAAGAATTCACAACTTCTTTTGAAGAAACTTCCCAGCAAGAGCTAAACAATCGCCTTCAAAAGTCTTATTTGTCGCTAAGAAAAAGCGACGACCGCGGCCGTTGGTCATGGCGCGCCAAAATTGTAATCGTTGGCAACAGTAAATGAGTTAAAAATCACCATTTTTTGTGCTTCATTATCTCACTGTTTTAGTATATACTAAAACAATTATTCACCTCAGTGTCGGTGGCTAGTGGTGGTATTTACTTCGCCGCTTCGCGGCCTCGGTAAATACCCAATACTAGCCACCTCCACTTCGGTGAATAATTGTTATATATTATAAAATAACTAAGGTAGTACGCGCGCTGAGAGGAGTGTTTGCATGAGAGTATGTAAACATTGTTGTGGCGTCAAGATGTTTTGCTTTTCACGCAAGCACGAATTTGAAAAAGTTTTCAAGTTCAAAAATCGACAAGTTTACTTTATTTACCCATTCCTTCGTCGTCTGAAACTTGGAAAATCGTTACAAAGAAAGTGTGTCAATTTTTTTTCGCATAAGCTGACATTTTAGGCGAGAAAAGTCCGTATTTTGGAAAGCATCTTTTTGCAAAACAAGAACTGATTACGCAGGGGCGGATCTAGGGGGAGGGTGACCTGCGGTTTTCTAATACAACTGGTATTCTGCAAAAAAAGAAAAACTATGTAGTTTATTGGTGTTGAAGTAGAGCAAGAGACGAGTGCACCCCCTCCTAAAAAAATCCTGGATTCGCCCCTGTTACGCGTGCAAGACTTCGTGGACAAGACTTTGCGACTGGTAAGAATTTATCATTTAATCGGTGCCATACAAAGAATTTTGCGTTTTTTTTCGGGAAATTTATTTTATAAAAGCAATAGAAAACTTTTTTCCTGTGTTTGCATAGCCTGATATAAACACTCGAGGCATTGGGAGAATTCTCGACAGTTATGCAAACCCTCGACTTCGTCTCGGGTTTGCTTAACTTTCTCGAATTCTCCCAACCCCTCTCGTGTTTATATCAGGCTATGCAAACACGGAAAACGTTTTCTATTGCTTAATTAGTAAAATCCAGCTAGTGGTCTATTATCAATGCTGCGTTCTGATTGGTCGAGCTACTACTAGGCTATATGTTATAGCCTACCAGTAGGATGGATGTAATTGGTCATCTGCTAACATCAAACACAGTGTCTTATGGGAGCCCGAGAAAATGAATTTCAAACCACACAGCCTTTGTGAAAATACCGGTAAAATTTCATGCGTAAAATTTAATTTTTTGAAGTTTGAAATTTATTTACACGGGCCTCCATAAGAAATTTTCTTTAGTATTATTACAAATAGCTAATAACATCTATAGCCCTTGGAAACTGTCAAAAAGAATGAAATATGCTCTAAATTATTCTGATACAAGGTTTTTGTCACTGAAAATTAAACTTAATCAATTTCCTGATGGATTCCGTCTTAATTCATTTTGGCCGTGTCAAATTTGAACTTCACATCTGCAATGCAACGAGTCTTAAATAATACCCTCAATGAATCGTAACGTATGAAACAGTGTTCAGCCACCTTAATGATCGCATTTGAAGATTACCTTTATCAAGCCAAGGTCTTTATGATCACTAAGTCCGCTGAAAACACACTGCTTCCAGTTCATATTGCGGGGCGGTCCCGGAGGCCCTTTAGCTCCTTGATCGCCCTTTGGGCCGGAAGGACCGGCAGGACCGGCAGGACCTACGGGACCTGGGCCTTGATATACCGTCAATGTACACGGTTTACCCGGCACTTCTGGAACGTCGTCTTTCGAAATCTTGTCACAGCCGCACTGAAAGGAGAAGCAACAACTAGCATTAATAAGGTTTACAGTTTTTCATTTAGACTTGGTTCCACGTTCAGTCAACGTGGTTTTAAATGATTCTGAATCGCGAAAGAAAGTAAAAATTATATGATTAGAGCATTCAAGTATGGGGCTAAATTGAGGCAGAATCGGTGCAATATAGTTCCACTACTATAAACAAGCAACAACCTCTTTCCTAACTACATGCAGTAACTCACCGATTTCGACGAGGAATCATCGTCGTAATAATACTGTGCATAGCAGAAACTGGGAAATAGAATAAATACTACCAAAGATAGTTTAATGGACAGCATGATCTTTTTAATGCACGGAATACCTATCAAATCGATATGAGAAAAAGGTATCAATTATTAACTTTGCACTTTAAAATGCGACATAGAGAAATTACAAGAATCGGCAGGCAGGCAGACATGTTTCATCGTTCACAATTTTGGGAATCAAGAATATTACAAGTCATAGTAAAAACTAAAACAAAAACAGAAAACAAAAATAAAAGAAACAAAGAAGCCAGTGCAACAGTATAAAGATTGGCAATTAGAATTTTCCCCTTCAGCTCGTACCTCGTATAGCTAACTTTTAAAAAACTTACTGCATACACGCGGTCAGTGGTCAGAAGTTGTGTGCTGCAACAGTCGGAATTAAACTGCGCAAAATATGACACCATTTTTTTTTTACTGATACTAGTTTTCTTTCCAGTTAGCGCTGGTTGAGTAAAGTGACTTTAGACAGGAGCCCATAACCTTTTGAGAGAACAACACCCATACTAGGCCTATGTCACGGCGTTTTAGAGGGCCGGTTTATTTTTCGATACATTTTAGCCGGAAGGCACAGTTCATCCGCGAAAATGGAAGCTCTCGGATCATTCTTTACTTAATTGTTTGCGCCGCTGTGTTTTTTAGGAATATTAACTGGGTTTTTCTGTTTAAATTTTATTAAATTTTATATTGCATCAACACCAAACCAGCACTGTAATTTTCAGGGAGTTATAATAACTCCTCTAGTGGGGCTAATTTAACTCCTTACAGTGGAGTTATTTTTCGTGGAGTTATTTTAACTCCAAAAAGGAGTTTAAAGAACTCTTTTTCAGGAGTAAAAGTGACCCCAGATATTGAGGAGTTAAAATAACCCCAAAAAAGGAGTTATCCTGTACCTAAAATTTTTACTCCACTTTCAGAGTTAAATTAACTCCAAAAAGAGTAAAAACAACCCATGTAAGGAGTACAAGTAACCCCATTTCGGAGTAATTTTAACTCCAGACTGGGAGTAAAAAGAACTCTTTTTCAGGAGTAAAAATGACCCCAAATTCGGAGTTAAATTAGGAGTTAAAATAACCCCAAAAAAGGGGTTATCCTGTACCTAAAATTTTTACTCCATTTTTGGAGTTATAATAACTCCCTAAAAATTACGGTGTATATTATATATGTAAATTAATTTTATGAAATGCCATTTTTTATCATAGATATTTTTCATTAAAGAAAACCAGGGAGGAGCAGCGTGGAAGTCAACAGAAGTAAGTTTATTATTTATTTTATTTCTTGTTTTCTTTTCACTCGCATTAGGAAGGACTTCCGGTTTTTTTTTGTCCGAGGGGAACCGGTTCTAGTTTTGAAAGGTTCGAGTTTGCGCGGTATCTTTCTCCTTTCAACGGCTCTCTTCGTGAGTGGAGAGGTTTTGATCGGAGCGTGTGCGAAACGGGGACTAATATGAGCCGAGTTTGGCAAGAAATTCTATTTCCACGGTTTGCAAAGTGCCTGGGACATCATTAAGTCCGGGAAGGCTTAAATGGGCGCTCGTTGCTCAAAGAACTGAGCTTCGGGCACAATCCGAGAGACCATCCGGTGGATGGTGTATAACGTCTCTGCCCAGCTCTGCACACCGTGAAGAAGTCTCCAGCAGGCAATAAGGGGCAAATTGATTAGTTTGAACATAAGAAAAGAGGGCCAACGAAGTTTTTGGCTGTGATTTTTGCCTTGCTGGAGACTTATAAATTGTCTTGTTATTGCCAGGATGTAATGTGTCCCGCACGAGTTGAACACGGATTTCCCAGAATGCACTGCGAGAAAGGTTAAAAACATGTTTAATATTTGACCATTACAGTGAGACTGTTCTGTTGTTGTGTTTCAGTGTCTACGACGGAGGTGCTGATCTTTGAATAAGCGAGCAACAACGGTGAGTAGCAGGCTTTTTGCCAGGAAAGGTTATGTTACAAAGTCGTGAAAGTGTAGTTCAAATCAAAGTCTGTGGTTTCGTATAGCGAAGGTTTATTTTTGGTCATGTGTCGAGCGACTCTGGAAATTTACTGTGTTTAAAAAGAGCCGCCGTCCTACTGCACAGGCTGAATTGTCGTTCATTTTCAGTTTATTGTTGGCATTGCAAGCTAAATGCTGATCGGATCGCGGAAGAGTAACTATTTTTCCTCAAAGGATGTTAAAGTTCCCGCGCTATAGCACCGTCGCGACGACGAGCGCCATTTATGCTTGATTCTCCGGAATGTTCGGTACAATGTTTTTAATCTGCTTTATGCACCGGTACGGCGATTATAAAACCATTGCAGGATGAAACTGATCTAGGGAAAATGATGTAGAAGAGATATATTACTTTTTAAACACGTGTTGAGGAATTTTCTTTAAACAAGGTTTTCCTTTTGCCCTTTTCTTTCAGATGTGGCCGTTGGTTTTACCCGCCCCCTCGGAGCTGGAATATTTACTCTCTGAAATGTTTATATTATCTGTGCTCTGCTGTGGTCAAACACGAAGAAAGCGAAGCGAAACGTCTTGTAAGATAACGTTAATTCAAAACTATTTGCTTGACCGGTGATTAGTCTTCGAAAATCGCCTATATTGAAACTACATCTCTGTATTTCTCACCTCCTGACCCGTCTTTTGAAATTCAATCCTACGCTCAGTACGGCGATGTAATTGATATGTAACGCAACGTAATTTGGTATCCTGCCCAGAAGTCCCTCAAACGTTAACCCTCAACAAACCGTACTTCTTGTTTGTAACCTTTATCCTTATTTAACCCTAAGCCTTGGCTCAACTTTAGCTATCCACCCTAACCAGCTCAACGTAACACCCTTTTCCTGACAAGGCGAACGTTTAACTCAGTCGATCAACTCATGTGTTATGACCATTGAAATCAGTTGAGACTGCTCGTCTAACCCTAACCCTCCAACCTAACCCTAACCTATTCCTAACCCTAACCCCAACCTCGACCTAATCTGATTTCTAACCCTAACCCTATCCCTAGTCCTTACCCTAACCTAACCCTAACCCCAACCTTAACCTTAACCCTAACCCTAACTCTTCCTCCCCCTTCCCCCCCCCCCCCACCCCTGCTCTTTCATTTAGTAGTACACAGTGAAAACTAAGTAATAGGTGCTTTTCGAAGTTAGCCTCAAAAGGCTCTTATAAATTTTCTGTTTCTTGGAAATTAAGCTGTTTAGGTTCTCAAACATGCGAGGTTCTTATTTTCTTAAGGAAAAAAGACTTTTTGGAAGAATGTTGGTGGTTTTAAATGTTTGTACAGAATATGCATGTTGTTATGTCTAAATGACTGCAATTTAGGCCAATAGAAACTTTTTTTGCCATTAGAATGATTAGTTGACTTTAAGAAGTGCATAGCGATCTGTTTTAACATTTGTACTTTATCAGGTTCTTTCCAAATCTTAGCCTGAAGAATTCTGGTTCTTATCTGTGCCTCTCCTCTGTGTCACTAACCTGACACAATAATGAGTGACACGTGCATGTTTCACTGTACAGTATTTTTCAGATGAAATAAAATACTGATTTGGATTGTTTTTGTTGTATTAGGGGCAATTAAAGTCTTAGTGAAAACTATACACTGTAATTTTCAGGGAGTTATAATAACTCCTCTAGTGGGGCTAATTTAACTCCTTACAGTGGAGTTATTTTTCGTGGAGTTATTTTAACTCCAAAAAGGAGTTTAAAGAACTCTTTTTCAGGAGTAAAAGTGACCCCAGATATTGAGGAGTTAAAATAACCCCAAAAAAGGAGTTATCCTGTACCTAAAATTTTTACTCCACTTTCAGAGTTAAATTAACTCCAAAAAGAGTAAAAACAACCCATGTAAGGAGTACAAGTAACCCCATTTCGGAGTAATTTTAACTCCAGACTGGGAGTAAAAAGAACTCTTTTTCAGGAGTAAAAATGACCCCAAATTCGGAGTTAAATTAGGAGTTAAAATAACCCCAAAAAAGGGGTTATCCTGTACCTAAAATTTTTACTCCATTTTTGGAGTTATAATAACTCCCTAAAAATTACGGTGTATATTATATATGTAAATTAATTTTATGAAATGCCATTTTTTATCATAGATATTTTTCATTAAAGAAAACCAGGGAGGAGCAGCGTGGAAGTCAACAGAAGTAAGTTTATTATTTATTTTATTTCTTGTTTTCTTTTCACTCGCATTAGGAAGGACTTCCGGTTTTTTTTTGTCCGAGGGGAACCGGTTCTAGTTTTGAAAGGTTCGAGTTTGCGCGGTATCTTTCTCCTTTCAACGGCTCTCTTCGTGAGTGGAGAGGTTTTGATCGGAGCGTGTGCGAAACGGGGACTAATATGAGCCGAGTTTGGCAAGAAATTCTATTTCCACGGTTTGCAAAGTGCCTGGGACATCATTAAGTCCGGGAAGGCTTAAATGGGCGCTCGTTGCTCAAAGAACTGAGCTTCGGGCACAATCCGAGAGACCATCCGGTGGATGGTGTATAACGTCTCTGCCCAGCTCTGCACACCGTGAAGAAGTCTCCAGCAGGCAATAAGGGGCAAATTGATTAGTTTGAACATAAGAAAAGAGGGCCAACGAAGTTTTTGGCTGTGATTTTTGCCTTGCTGGAGACTTATAAATTGTCTTGTTATTGCCAGGATGTAATGTGTCCCGCACGAGTTGAACACGGATTTCCCAGAATGCACTGCGAGAAAGGTTAAAAACATGTTTAATATTTGACCATTACAGTGAGACTGTTCTGTTGTTGTGTTTCAGTGTCTACGACGGAGGTGCTGATCTTTGAATAAGCGAGCAACAACGGTGAGTAGCAGGCTTTTTGCCAGGAAAGGTTATGTTACAAAGTCGTGAAAGTGTAGTTCAAATCAAAGTCTGTGGTTTCGTATAGCGAAGGTTTATTTTTGGTCATGTGTCGAGCGACTCTGGAAATTTACTGTGTTTAAAAAGAGCCGCCGTCCTACTGCACAGGCTGAATTGTCGTTCATTTTCAGTTTATTGTTGGCATTGCAAGCTAAATGCTGATCGGATCGCGGAAGAGTAACTATTTTTCCTCAAAGGATGTTAAAGTTCCCGCGCTATAGCACCGTCGCGACGACGAGCGCCATTTATGCTTGATTCTCCGGAATGTTCGGTACAATGTTTTTAATCTGCTTTATGCACCGGTACGGCGATTATAAAACCATTGCAGGATGAAACTGATCTAGGGAAAATGATGTAGAAGAGATATATTACTTTTTAAACACGTGTTGAGGAATTTTCTTTAAACAAGGTTTTCCTTTTGCCCTTTTTATTCAGATGTGGCCGTTGGTTTTACCCGCCCCCTCGGAGCTGGAATATTTACTCTCTGAAATGTTTATATTATCTGTGCTCTGCTGTGGTCAAACACGAAGAAAGCGAAGCGAAACGTCTTGTAAGATAACGTTAATTCAAAACTATTTGCTTGACCGGTGATTAGTCTTCGAAAATCGCCTATATTGAAACTACATCTCTGTATTTCTCACCTCCTGACCCGTCTTTTGAAATTCAATCCTACGCTCAGTACGGCGATGTAATTGATATGTAACGCAACGTAATTTGGTATCCTGCCCAGAAGTCCCTCAAACGTTAACCCTCAACAAACCGTACTTCTTGTTTGTAACCTTTATCCTTATTTAACCCTAAGCCTTGGCTCAACGTTAGCTATCCACCCTAACCAGCTCAACGTAACACCCTTTTCCTGACAAGGCGAACGTTTAACTCAGTCGATCAACTCATGTGTTATGACCATTGAAATCAGTTGAGACTGCTCGTCTAACCCTAACCCTCCAACCTAACCCTAACCTATTCCTAACCCTAACCCTAACCCCAACCTCGACCTAATCTGATTTCTAACCCTAACCCTATCCCTAGTCCTTACCCTAACCTAACCCTAACCCCAACCTTAACCTTAACCCCAACCCTAACTCTTCCTCCCCCCCCCCCCCCCTGCTCTTTCATTTAGTAGTACACAGTGAAAACTAAGTAATAGGTGCTTTTCAAAGTTAGCCTCAAAAGGCTCTGTTTCTTGGAAATTAAGCTGTTTAGGTTCTCAAACATGCGAGGTTCTTATTTTCTTAAGGAAAAAAGACTTTTTGGAAGAATGTTGGTGGTTTTAAATGTTTGTACAGAATATGCATGTTGTTATGTCTAAATGACTGCAATTTAGGCCAATAGAAACTTTTTTTGCCATTAGAATGATTAGTTGACTTTAAGAAGTGCATAGCGATCTGTTTTAACATTTGTACTTTATCAGGTTCTTTCCAAATCTTAGCCTGAAGAATTCTGGTTCTTATCTGTGCCTCTCCTCTGTGTCACTAACCTGACACAATAATGAGTGACACGTGCATGTTTCACTGTACAGTATTTTTCAGATGAAATAAAATACTGATTTGGATTGTTTTTGTTGTATTAGGGGCAATTAAAGTCTTAGTGAAAACTATACACTGTAATTTTCAGGGAGTTATAATAACTCTTCTAGTGGGGCTAATTTAACTCCTTACAGTGGAGTTATTTTTCGTGGAGTTATTTTAACTCCAAAAAGGAGTTTAAAGAACTCTTTTCCAGGAGTAAAAGTGACCTCAGATATTGAGGAGTTAAAATAACCCCAAAGAAGGAGTTATCCTGTACCTAAAATTTTTACTCCACTTTCAGAGTTAAATTAACTCCAGCTGGAAAAATTAGTTCATTCTGTATGTACAAACGAAACGAATCAGGGTGATAAAGTAAGCTCTCTTTTCTTGAAGTGACTAAACACAGTTTCTCTGACATAAACATTTGTTTTCGCGCGCGCCAAAGACTAACGTGATCTGGAAAAATAAAAACTTGGTTGTTTTCGCCCCTTGAAATGCTTTATCCCACTACTGTTAACATCTTTACTTTGAGAAGACATGCAGCCAATGGGATTTTCTGGTACTTAAAACATTATTTTCAAGCTTCGCTTAAATGCATAATTGCGTTCAAATGTCGGCGATCAACGACAAAAACATTTAAGTATTTTCAAGACTGTTTATAGTGTAAAGAAATATGGGAATCTTGACATGGTTATATCATACGCATTTTTGACACCCTATGCCCAAAACTCACCGTGGTAGCCTACCCTATTTTTGACACGTTTCTTTTCTGGCCATTTTGGATAACCGTGGCAATGTGTAGTTCCCAGGGTCTACTCGGTTAACGTTCCCGGGAAGGGGAGGGAAGCAATAAAACCAATTTACGTTGTGTCTTCCGGAAGTTTTGCAACAAATTATGACCGGGATTGTAGGGTGGCAGTCGTTCTCCCTTCCTTTCATGTCACCGTGAACAGATCGAAATTATGCCCAGGAGCGTGTCAAAATTACCTTCTATCAAAACTGGCTTTACTATAACTACTTTTCTCGATTCGTAATGAGCAAAGTACCATAGTTCCTTCTTAAATTTTATTTGACAGAAAAGCATGTGTCTTGTGTTTAATTACAACCTCTAAAAATAACTTTAGTGAAATTCACATATTCCAGTCAACGCTCTAAGATTCCCTCTCTGACCCCCCTTAGCCGGGGGGGGGGAATACTTGAGTTAATTTTTACTGGGAATGTGCCGGTGGCCTCTCAGAGCCCCTACCCCATTATAGTCTATTCTGTGGCCAATTATAGACCCTATCTTAGTCACTTTTGGGTAAATATGTAATTTTCGCGGTCCCAACTTAGTCACTTTCTATTTACGTATCCACCTCATATTGAATGAAGAACACTTTGATCAAAAATAAAACACAAACAACGGTGATAGGCATTGTGAGTTTTCGCATTCTTATAAACTTGACGTTTCGTATGCTATTCAACATACATTTTCAAAAGTGATCTTAATTGGCCGTTAAAGAAAATGACGAGACTATATATTCAAAAATTACAAGGGGTCTGGAGATTAAGAATTTAAAAATTTTTAATGAATACAAAAGGCAGCAGCTAATAAAGCATCAGCTTTTCACCACTGACGTTGACATTAAAAGCTGGCTTAAGGTCTTGTGTCAACAATATTTCTTTTAATTATCTTACAATGAAAATCTGTTTTGCCAGATGCTAAGATTTCACAATGTTTATCACCGCTGTTTGTGTTTTATTTTTGATCAAACTACGATGGCCCAAGAACAAAAGTCTCGAAGAACACTTTACTTTTCACCTACAGTACAAACATTCTGGTACGTTAATGCTATCCGTAAATATGAAGAACTGTCTCACCCCAAGAATCAGAAAATGTGCGACCTTATTCTAGTAACTCTATTGAAAATGCGACCCCATTATAGTCAATCCAGTCGTGAAAATGCGACCCCATCCAGGGGCACATGCCCATTAGCCTCTTATAAGGAGGTATCGCCCCGGGTTTTGTTGGCAGTGACTGACATTTCGACAACCTGTGCCGGGTAGTCATCTCCAGAGTCAAAGTGACTTGTATCACGACTTAATTGACCGATCAGGCCGATAACCAGAGTTTAATACCATTAACTGACGCTATACAGCCCATTTTGACTCTCAAGATGGAAAACGTGGAAACGTCAGTCACTGTCAGCAACAGTCCTATTAAGGACTACGTTCACCCAGACGATCATGCATCCTCAACCTATTCCGGAAATGACTCGTAGCTTCAAACCTTTCACAGAATGGTTTTTTTTTCTTTTTTATTGGTTTACTCGGCTTTTGGCTCAGGTTACTGTACGTCTAAACATTTATGTTAGATCTCCATTTGCAAGGTATACACCGTTATTAAACCAACCAATATTTTCCGACTTGCGACAACTTCAAAACCTTGCTTTTCATAGAGTCTGATTGCAGAAGTCATTGTGCTTGTCGTATTTAACATAATCTTCTCCATTTCTTTCCTCTTTGCATATGCAGTAAGTTCAGTAAGCAGTTTTTTACCAATCCCTATTTTTCTACAATGCGGAACGACATACAACATGTGTATTTCAGAAACTCCTGGATCCGGCTTAGGAGTGAGTCTCACCATCCCCACAACTTTTCTGTTTAACTCTGCAACCCAAATTTGCCCTCCGTCAGACAAACTAAACTTTGTATTCAACCTGGATTTCTGCCAGCTTTTGAAAAAGTTCAACCAGTAAATGATGGGGCATATGAAAAATAAAAACGCAAGCACAAAATATACTGCTAAAATCCAAGGTGACCATATGATTGCTGTGAATGAGGCAGGAACAGCTCCTACAGCAAAATACCACGTTACTCTCGTCAGAAAAAACAAAAACTTATCCATTACACTCTCGTTGCTTCCATCTACGAATATTTTCTGACAAGCTGCTCTGTCATTTGGCTGGAAGAAGCGAATGGTTACAAAAGATGAGATACGGCTGTCTTGCTTTGAACTTGAAAGGGCCATTTCACTCTAAAATGAAACAATAATTATTATATTAAATCACAACTGGCGCCATATATTGAAACGTTCAAAACTTCACGGTGAAACCACTTAATTGATATAATGAAAGATAGATAGTTTATTTGTAAAAAGTTTGCAGCTGAGATGACAGTAGAGGGAAGAGAAGAGAAGCTTCTTTTCAATATCTTCTCTCTACTGTCATCTGGATGAAAAACTGTCGCTCCAAAAAGGCCTTTAACAGTGCCTAGGAGGTCTGAAATGCAGTCAGAATACAAAGAAAAACAGGAAGACGCTAAAGGTAAGCTTCAAAGGGATATTCAATGTACAT